TCTCCTCCTCTTCCCCCTCCCCCTCCCCCTCCTCCTCTTCCCCCTCCCCCTCCCCTCCTCCTCTTCCCCCTCCCACTCCCCCTCCTCCTCCTCCCCCTCCCCCTCCCCCCTCCTCCTCCTCCCCCTCCTCCTCCCTGTCTGCTTTCTTTTTTTGCACACAACTACTTAACAAACTACAAACACCAGCAACTGATAGCAGGCAATCAACAACCAATAACCCACCATGCCTCTCAAGGTACTAGCGTTTGTATACCCTCTGAAAAGTCCCCAGAATTCCAAATGTCACAGAAATGCAAAAACTATCTGCTGCTGGCAGAACCATGGCCCTGCTAGAGCATGAGGCAAATTCATAGTCAGCTGCTGTGGACAGTCTGAAACAACCCCATGTCCTACACCTGAGGTTAAAACAAAACATGCTCTTATATTTCTGTTTTTTTTTTAAATGCCAAAAAAATTCACTACATCTGTTTTTCTTGGAAATGTGAGTAGCAGTCATGAACAACAGACTGCTGATCCAGTGTGTGTGAACCAAGGCTCTCCTCACCTTTGGGATGTCCTTTTCACTCTCAGATGGTGGTGACACTGGGCACTCTGTCAGGAAGGGGAGTAGTAGGAAAAAGAGTCCCACTCCACACACAATGGCTAAGCTCATGTCCATTGCTATGTCCATGATGCTGGGGCTCATCCATGAGTCAATAACGCTATTTATAGGAAGGAGAAAATTCTCCATCTTCTGAATCACAGTGTAGCTCTCAGACTACTCAGCTGTGGCGTACAGCATGTGACTTGTCAGGAGAGCTCAGACCACATCACACAGCCATGGCCTCCTCATCACAAAGGCCTCCTGGCAGGAGAGAGCTCCTCCCCAGTCTCCAGCCCAGCAGACCTATCTGCCTCCTCTGGCTTTCCCTGCTCCCTCTTTCCAATTCCTGCTGCTAAAGCAGCCAAATATAAGTCTCTGTCCATGTTTTGTTTCTCCTCCTTGAGCCCCAGAATTCCTCTGCTTCCTATATGTCTGCTTGAGTCCATCAGGTTCTCAGATTTCGACTAAGTGGGCTTCTCTGTGGAACTTGTGTTATTTCTTATGGATTGTTACTCTCAGGATGTCTTCTGTGTTCACATCCACATCTCTTCATTCTGAGATCATAGCTAATCTTAAGACAGACACAAACCTTCCATTTGTCTCATATTCATTTAGCTTTGTCAATTTGCTATAAAATCTAAAAGAATATAGTTTTAATTAACTTCAATTAGTAGGATGTTAAGGAAACATGAAATTCAATACTTTATCGTAAGAATGCACGTGGCTACTTATCAAATAAACTTTTGCTATTTTTAGTGTTTCATATTTATTTCTTTTCTTATGTGCTTATTTTATTTTAATTAGCATTAAAAGATGTGGATCATTAAGGTATTTTTAATGCCTAAATGTTTTGCTATTGTGAGCAGTGTCAGTGTCATCTTGGATGTGCAGGTATCCCTTGGCAGAACGTAGACAGGGTCCTTTGAGTCCATGGTGATGACTGGTGGACCTGAGCCTATGGTAGTTCTGTTTTTAGGAACTCTATCCTGATTTCCACCTTGCAGCTCCAGTTTTTGCAGCCAATAGCAGTTGCGGACAGGTCCTTTCTGGACACCCTTACCAGAGTTTCTCATTTGTTGTCTGATCTTAATCACAGAGGTTTAGGTGAGAGGGAACTTCAAAGTGGCATTAGCTTGAGTTTACCAAAGGCTAAGCATGTCGAAGACTTTTAAAAATATTTATTGGCCCCTGTGTGTTTCCTTTTGAAAACTATTTGATTCATTGCCCAACTTATTGACCCTTTTTGTTGTTTTGGTTTTAATAGTAGTGGTTTGTTGTACATTCTAGATATTAACACCCCACAACAATGTGACCATTAATGATCATATCCCATGCCCTAGGCTGGCTGTTCCCTTCATTGATAGCATCTTTTGCTACACAGAGCTCTTCTTGTTTGTTTGTTTTGTTTTCAAAGACAGGGTTTCTCTGTGTAGCCCTGGCTGTCCTGGAACTCACTCTGTAGATCAGGCTGGCCTCGGACTCAGAAATTTACCTGCCTTTGCCTCCCAAGTACTAGAATTAAAGGCTTGCGCCACCACTGCCTGGCTACATAGAGCTTTTTAATTTCATGTACTTTCATTTGTCAACACATGGGGCCCTTCCCTGTGCTCTTGGTGTTCCATTCAGACAGTTCTGCCTATGCCTGTGTATGAAGGGCTTTCCTTCTTCCCTTCCAGCAGCCTCAGCATTTGGGGGTTTAAATTCAGGTGTGTTATCTATTCTAAACTGATGTTTTACAGGGTGAGAGAGACAGATCTGTCTAAATTCTTCTCGTAGATATCTTGTTTTGCCAGTGTTATTTACTGCATTTATTGCAAGGCTTTTTTCCCAGTGTGCATCTATACTCTATTTTATACCCGGTTGAAAGACAATGTACGTCTTGACATTTGCACAAAATAATCTTGCCCCTCTCTATGGCACCCACAGGCCCTGCCTCTGGGGAACATGGGGCTTTTTGTCAGCTTCTCCTTGACCAGGCTGCCCTTTCTCTTATTAGTGCTTGGCCACATCCCACAGTCTTTGCCCTGACAACCTGGAGTCGGAAGCCTTGTGCTGGTGGTGGCAGTAGAGATGGACTTTCCAGTTCCTTTATTGGGACAAGTAGCAGCAACAATGCTTGAGGTTCAGTAAGAACTGATGAGGTGCCAGGCAGCATCAGTCAATTGGGACAAGCTCTGGGATATGATCAGCTTTTTCTTCTCCAGGGATCAAAGACCAGTGCTCCCAGAGGCTTTCCAAAGGAGCGTCTTTATTACAACAGTCAGGTTCTGATGGTTGAAAATACTCCTGACAATCCTTTTTGCATTTCTCAGTAGGTCATCTATACCTGCCTGTCCTCACAGATGCTCCAGAAAACCTGCAGGTTAAGAGAGTGTCTCAGCAGAGCCTTGAGAAGTGAGTGCACATTTGTGCCTGGCTGCTGGATCTCCGGAGGAGGGCAGTGTCCCTGTATGTCCTGTCTCAGGTCACTGCTAATGTAAAGACTGGAACTTGGGGCTGCCAAGTGAACCATCACATAGCAACAGTTTACAATATACCTCAATACTGAAGAACTGAAGTAGAAATCCAACATTGTTTATATAAATTGGCATTCAGAACATTTTAAGGCATAGCT